ACAGAGTTTATGTACATAACTCTATCAACCAAGTCATTTCATAATAGAATTGATGATAATAAACATTCATATAGACGTTCTAATCTCTATTAGGTATTATTAAAACATAGCTGCATTATACAAAAAATGATAATTAATATTTCATTTTTATTCTTTAGTGTAGATAAATTTACTTATATATATATATATATATATATATATATATATTAACAACGCACGCGTAATACCTCTGGTATTTGCTGGTGTTCATAGGCTACGGTAACCACTTACTATTAGGTGGGCCGTATGCATGTTTGCCACCTCAGTGGTATAAAAAAATCGATTAATGTAGGTATAAAGATGAACTTACCTCTAACAGTACATTTTCTTTTAGTATACTTCTTAATGTAAAAAGTAATGCAGGTAGGTATGAAAAAGGCATACTATTTCTATTGACAAAAAATACCTACATTAGGCTACTGTTGGGATAAACTTCTAAGAATAAATAAATGTATATTGGTGTTTATTTATTATATCCTTCCTACAGCCTTTTTTAAATTGTTTCTCATACTAAGTACTGCGAATAAAAAACAGTACCTATTTGACTTTAATGCACGATTTATAGAAAAGGATGCAAGTCGGCGAGCAATAGAATGAATTTTTCAGTGTGGTAAAGAACATAAAATTTTCTTCACAGTAACTTAATATTTTCACAAAATATAAATACTTCTATTATTTTAACTTTACAGTTGGCTGCGGACGTTCATTTTATTGCCCAGACTGGATGGTTTTCAACGGATGCATATACACTTCGAATATAGTGCATTTTGTTTTTCGAACGAACGCAGTCAGCTAGCACATGTCCAATTCGATGCGCTTCGACTCACAACATTTATTTTAGAGTTATGCAGTGTTTATATTCTTAATCAATCCAAAATCTCAACTTAAACCAATCAATAATTCAATAATTTGTTCATATTAAATATATTTGTATATTTATGCAGGTATAATGATGTTGTAAAGTATTTTATTCAAGGCGGTATCATATAATCATTGGGTATATAATATTATGTGTGTATTAGATTACTTTTTATTAAAATACATCACGACTCAATTCTCATTTGATGAACAGTAATGATCAACGATCATTGACTTGAACTAAAATTGTAAATAGTTAAATGGAAATATTAGAAGAAATAATTTGTTACACTTATACGGTGCTGTTAAGCGTTCGTAAAATAAGATGTTACAAATTGAAATTAATCGTCCGGCAACGGTTATTAGTGGACTGTATGAAATTATTACGATGATGGTAGGTAAAAAATATAATGAACACACGAGGATAATGAAGGTGGAGACCACTGACCTGAAGCTTTGTAGTTAGCAGGATTCGGTTCTGGCTTTCCAGAAAATCTGGCTCGTTCGAGCTTACCCTCAGATCCGGGTTACCTATCCACCGCCTTGAACCGACCAGCAGTGCAATGCCCTCCCGATATTCGCGGCAATATATGCACGCGCGCGATAATATTCGAAAACGAGAACGACGACAACGAACGCACGTTCCACCGACACATTCGATAACAATAGACAAGACTTTTTTTTTCTTTTTTACGATATTGATGTCAGGCGAAATTTATTAAATTCTTAACAGGTGCTAATTTTAAGATTAAGGATTTGTACCATTCGTCTCACATAATACAGTATTATGGCCCATAATAATGTTCGAATTATTTTTTTTTAGCTAATATATAAGTTTGTTTCCTTCGGAGTGTTGTACTAAACTCCAAATGTTTTAGTTTTTTACTATTGTACTTTTAATTATGCACTCCAAATTTAATTAAAATTGACGTTGCCGTTACTATTTTAAAAAATAATCAAGATCAATGACTGTATGATATATCTATAACAATGATCTCATTCTAAATATTTTTAGGAAACAAGATTCTACTTTACTGAAACCTCGTAAGTAATCTTACAGGCTTAATAATTCCAGATGTAACTTAACACAAAATACTTGAAGGAAACTTTTACAAACTTTGGCTGACATGCCTACTATCAGATGAATAGCCTGCGGCTCAGGCATAAAGGCAAAACATTAATCTGCAATAGTTTGCCAAACTGAAGTAAGTTTTAGTATCCCTGGAATTCACTAAGACCTTTTGTCCGATTGTCAACTATGAACTATTTCAAGGGAGTGAATGTTTAAGGTATAAAGGTAGGTAAACAATGAATATTCAATTGACTTTTCTGTGAAATTAAACTTATGCAAATTTAGAAATAGATTGAGGTCTTTTTTGGTATTGTACTCGTAATGTACATTCTTAGCATTTCTTAAGACTTATATCTGAAATTAAAAGTAAAACTGGTAAAGAAATTGTTGGGTACAATAACATCAAAAATATACATCAAAATAGCGATGTATGATATTCAATTATTATGCGAATTCTTAAAACAGCTCTTTTTTATACTGAAAATAATACGCTTAATATTTAAAAATTAGAGGTTAAATTTATTTTATATTTGTTTTTTTCTGTTATCTTTTTTGTTGTTATTTAGTTTAGTGATGCCATAGTGTAGGGATTAGTTCTTAAGGCTATGATAATGCTTTTATTCACAGTAAAGAAATAATGCAAGACTTAATTTACTTGTTTGTTTCTCTTGTAATAGTGATATATGTAATTATTTAAAATATTACAGGAATAATTTTATTTTCTATCAAAAATTGCTACTAAAGTAAAGCAATAAGTTGTAATTTTCTATAGGCTCTCGTAGCATTATTGGTTGGAATGGGAGAGAATTGTTAATATTGGGAACTAAAGATGTTACTTACTGAGACGTTGAACAATATATTCTTTCAGATAGACTCTCGTGTGAAACTGTCGTGGTTAATTCTTGATAAGTTCATAACAATTATCCAGTTTCCAGTATTATTCATAGTTTGGAATTTTTAATATATATAGCATGAGCCATGTACAGCAGTATCCCTCTTAAAATATCACCAAAGTTTAACTGTGGACACCAACCCGCCTGCATAGTGTGGCAACTACTGGCAAAACCCTCCCTATGGAAGAGGCCTGTGATTAATAGTGGACAGTTAAGGCTGATATAATACTAATAATGAATTGCAATATAAAGGAACTATTATTTTTATTGAGGTGTACATAAAACTCATTAAATGATGAATTCTTCATGAAATAACATTACTTGATTTTTTTTTTCGGAAATTAACGCGACGCGATTACTGGTAAAAAGTATAGTTACACACCTGATTTTTATTATGTTCCCCGTGTCTTCGTCCTTATGATCGTTATATATAATACATTTACTGATCAGAACAAAAAGTATATACTACATACATCCTTCTCAGTCTGTATAGCAAATTTTATAAAGATTGCTTAAGCTTTTAAGATGGTAAAAAGTAACACCGAGCTTACTTTCATATTTTATATATTATTAGTAAAGACTTTTACTGAGTATATTTTATGTCATACATCATTATTTATTTATAATTTTACTTCATTAATTTCTATTTGAAACTACAGTGTACTAATAAAGTAGTTTGGCTAACTATTCTCATTGAAGCGTCACACTATCTAACTATGAAATTCCCTGCAGGCAATATTTATGAAGGTGTCTCGCAATCCTTACTTACATGTGCTGAAATCAGAAGCTCACCTCTATAAATATTATACGTTTACCTTGTCAACCCCTGAAGCTTTAATGTTCTGGAAACACGTAGTGTGTTAGCTAATGCTTTGGTACTGTCTACTACTTGTACGAGTATGTGACGTGTATTAGCTTTCACGTAGGCGACTATCTTATACAGAACTCATATTTTGACTTCAATAAATCCGGTTCTCTGCGAAATAGATGTAAAAGATAAATCTAAAATAAAATTTATCTATAAGATCGATTCATAAGAATTATAAGTATTTTTTTTTATTATTCATTTATTCTGCCGTTATCTTTGTAAATTTTTTATATAATTTAAATTTATGTGCTTTTATTTCAAGTATTGAGTATTTTTTTTATTATTCATTTATTCTGCCGTTATCTTTAATATTATAATTTAAATTTATGAATATTTCAAGTATTGAGACTTTATTTTAATATTATATGAATATTTGTTCAATTGTTATAACGACTATATCAAAGTACATCGTTTAGTTTTTATATAATTATATTTATATTGAAACTTTAATTATTTCTAAATAGATTAATAAATTGTAAATCTACATAATTTATGAAACTCTTAAAGAAAATAAGAAAATAAAACTCATTTAAAGTAAAATATTCCATTTACTTTCAATTAACATTAATTTATTATTAATTCATCTTCATCATCAACTTAACAAGTAAAATAAATAATCATTACATTTTCCCTTTTGGATTAAACACTACTGAGAGATTTATTGTTTAATGCTTTCTTATTTAATAAAGGATCAACTGATTTTAAAATACATTAATTGGTGAAGATGGGTTTTGAAAACTAGTCTGGAAATTTCTTAATATAAATACGGTAAATAAGTCTAGGTAAATTCTTTCAATTATCAGAATTACCTTATTTAAACCAGAATATTTTATTTGCTTTGAATAAGTGACATAAAGTTCTTATTTAATAAGTAGATGGTTCCATATTCACCTATTCTTTATAGATACTATATTCAACTAATAAATGTAGTTTTTTTTTTAAAGTTAGTAATTAATTTTACAATAAATAAATAATTTTACAATAATCAAATTTTTTGATTTATTATATTCTTTATTAGTTTAGATGGACTAATTGAGATTAACTAGACCAATCACACCAACTATCTGGTCCTTACATTATGATACGCGTAGATTATGATGTGTTATGAAGGACCAGGTAACGAATATCCGGTGATACAACGTTAACAGCCAGACCGGAGTTAATTCAGAAAAAAAATATTTTTTAAACTTTACTTACTGGGAACAGAATCCAGGATCTCATTTATACAAAGTAAAATGCTTATTTTTGCTAAGTTCCTTTTAATAAATACATCAATGACCTCTATAATATAATTTGATAGAATATTAATGTACGTAGTACGTTATATTAAGTCTATGATTGATATCCTGTGATATTAAAATATTTAAGCCACTTCTAAAAGAAAAAGGTTCTCAATTAGTTTATATTATTTTGCGACAATGTTACTCGATTACGTAATCAATTCTGAACCTATTTTCATAGTTTTTTTTATAATGTACTTGGTTTATTCCTATGTTGGTCCTATTCCAATTTTATGACTATTGCAGCAGCTGTTTTCTATTGTGGAACAAAAAATTGCTTGTTGTGAAGAAAAATCTATATATAAACATGCAATTCCTTAAATCTATATAATAGGTCATAATTTATCGAGTAGCTTGTAAGTACGTAGCTATTCACGATTGAAGTTGCTTTTTGTAGCGCAATATATTCTTGTCTATTACAGATATTGAGGCTATATGATTTTTTCCTAGAATATTAATATATGTAAACATCCCGCGAGTACTGAACGTTTTTACTTTCTGTTGTTAATAGAAACATCGAGACTCGTTATTACCCTTTGAAGTCAGCTGTATAATTGATTTTCTACATCGGCGACCCCCTTTCCCATTTTCTCTGTGAAAGGTGAAGATGATATCGTGCGCCTCACAGCTCAGCCTTTAATATTTAGCTATATTGCATTGACTTGAGCCTTTTGAAAATGTTTTTTGGAGAAAGCTCCTTCGTAGGATTACTTATTATGTAGATAAAACATAACATCCTTTCTCTTACATTGTTGGTATAGGCAGAAAACTAAATAATTCAATTTGTGTAGTGTCGAGATAATCGCGATTTATTATGCTCTAACTTGTTTTTTCTTTTACAACTTTATTGTTAATCTTCCAATAAAAAAAATAGTTTTTTTCATTGAAAGAATTTATATTTTACCATACTATATTATGATATAAACATAAAATACGAGTAATAAAACATTATATATTTATTGTTATGTAATTTATATTTACGTAATACGAAAATATAAATTATTATAACTAAATATGTTATTAGCTTCGTATTTAGAAATAACAAAGAAAGAAACACTGTTTTTATATTATTTTATTTGTATTATTAAGTTTATTTTATACCTTTACAGTTATTTAACATAGTCTTTTTCTGTTTACAGATGAGAAATATGTGTAATATTAACAAAAGTGTGCAACAACATATAAAATATATATCTTATAGATAAAAGTAGGTTTTACTCAGCTTTGCTTTTTCAATAACATCTTAATCATTTATTTATTATTATAATACAAACAAGAAAATCCTATTAAGTTCTTAGAACAATCATTTAATAGCCTTATTACTGTACATTTCGTATTAAAATACACAGAATTGTATTTAAATTTTACTCTAAGTATTACAAGAATCATTTCCATCTTATTATTTTCATTACACCGAATATTACTTGTTTAATGATTAAGAAACTTAATATGTACAGTCTACATTATATTATAATTATTATTATAATAAATGGTTCTTTTATATCTAAACAAACGCCGTGTAGTACACGTTCTAACCACTGTAGAGGAAAAAGCTAGCGTACAGCTACGAACTTTACTTTCCTAAGTGGTCGTAAACTTTAGTTATATAAATGGCAAAATATGTGTTGAAATATGTATAGCAACTTTTTACCAATCGCGTAAAATTACGACTTGGTAGCTACTATTATATATTTGTATACAGTAATTGGTAATAGTTTAATATTTGTCTTTACGAGTATTGCTTTATATTGTAAGAATTAAAAATACTAGTATAACAGTTTAAAACTACAATAAAATTTGTGTATTAAATATAAACAAAATAATTATTTTTTTATGTAAACAATTAGATCTAATATAATAAATTAAATGTTTTATATGAAATGCTCAACATAACCTGTGCAATTATTATAAGTAAATAAAAAATAATAAATGACAAAATTACCTTTTTGTTTTCAATCTACTGCCTGCTACCAATCAATTCTAACAAACCTTTACTCATTTCTAAATTTACCCAAAATATAAATGATCAATTTATTTTGTTAAGTCAAGCATACCACTTTAATATTACATTAAAATATTTTTGAATAATAGCAAAAGTTTATAAATAAAAGATTTTCTTTCTTTGAATGATAAAATTACATAATAATGTCGGTTCCTTCCTTTTTATGATTATAAAGCGGATTATATTTTTTGAATTGTAAATTGTTCTAAAATATCCCTTAATCATAAAAAAGTTACTGTGAAATTGTATACGAGTACAGTTTATATCTTTTTTTTATTTAGGTAGATTATTTTTTTTTTACTTCAAATCTTGTGGGAAAAGAACAACAGTTTTAATACAAAATTTTATTGGAACCGATTACTAGAAATATATATTTCAAGTCAAATATAGCAGTAAAGCCATAAGAGAAACTATAGATAAGTTTAATGGTTGCCAGAAAAGTGTTCCTTTGTTCCACGTATCATGATGAACGGCTGCTTGGTTCTCACCTGGTAAAGAAATATTAAGAGTAAATCTACTATCCACGAAATAATTATTTATGCTATTTTCGAATATGCATGTTATCAATGATATTAACAATGCTATTGATTGCAAATCCAACTTTTTTAGTTTTTATCCGTATCTAATTATTTTTTTCCTGAACTTCAATGAAATGGTCTTTGTAGTAGTGTTTTTGAGTTACGCACATAGGTATTAATTTTATTGTCTTTTTTTCATTCCATACATATGTGTTAAGACTTATGCAACTGAAAATACGTGGCCCAAGACATGTTTATACTTAAACTTCTAATTAATGTGTGATTTATATAACAATGGATAATAACGATAAATATTAATAAAGTTAAACTGACAGAATTAACAGCCACTATAAATACATCGTTGATTAAATGGGAAGTAGGTATAGTATGGTAATGTAAACAGCCGATACCTTCTGTGATGCAAAAGAAGTATTTTGGTAAGTAAATACATCAGTACGAACAGTAATAGAGTTGAACATAAACAAGAGAAAGGATCGTCTAGTATGTCAAATCTCCTCTTGTCTAATAAAAACTTTGAATTTAGATTTTGTTTACTACCGTCGTACTAATATTGATCGTAATAATAGATTTTTTTGTATAGGTAGTCAATAAAATATAGCTAACAATAAAATTATAACTACACTTTCAAATAAATCTTACTGTAACGATGTAAATAAAATAAATAAAAACGTTGTTAGTAAAATTAATATAATTTGTACTTTTGCATCCGCAATTACTATAAAAATACTAGTAAAATAAAGATAAAAATAGTTTTAGTCCAAGAATTCTTCTGATCGTAAAATTTGAAACACTTATTGTGAAACTGCATATTTCCCAATAGGCTAAAGTGATCTCCATTCTAGCGTCCTCTTGAAAATTATTTGAACATTTCAGCTCGATTCGCAAACTCGTTGAGGTGTAAAACCATTTCAAGCACACAATAATAATTTTTATTATGTTTGAAAATCTAGTATTTTGTCTAAAATATATTCTTTTTAGGTTACAAAATTTTTGTAAATTGTATTTTAAAAATTATTTAATATAACAAACTTACCAATTAAAACATGCACGTTAACGATTACTTGTGAGTGATTTTGTAAAAGGCATGTGTATGTTCCGCTGTCATTTTGTGATGCAGATGCCACACTTATTGTAGCACTGAAAAGAAAATTATATAAAAATATTATAACATATTGCACTGTCATAATCATTACCCTACTAGTCATTATTATTAGCATATTTTCACCTTTGAGGTCGGTAGAAATCTCTTAAAATCACCTATTTTAAATTTTGTCTAATAAAATTCATTATTATTTTTGCATTTACATTATATTGGTGTCATAAAATCCCTTCTTTATTTTATTAATATTTTATTCTTCTGATATACTATCTAATCATTATTTTAAAATTAAACGAATATATTAAATGAAGACATGAATGAATGAATTGATAGAAGTGTGTGTATACTAACGACAATAAGATTTAATAATCGAACGTATATCTTGTCTTCAAATATAAGAGTATATATGTTTATAATTCGTATCTGTATGTTTTTTATTTGCATACATTAAGTAATGTCGTTGCCAGTTTTAAACAAATTTCACAATTATTTTTACAATTAATGTGAATTACTATTTATATGTTACTATTGATATCCTACTTTTTTAAAGCTATTTTTGTAACATTTACCTCATATTTCGCCATGTGACATTATCATAAAAGTATTTCCCATGTTTTTTCCAGTATATTCCATAGATGTTATTCACAACTGGTGGAGTAGTGGGTTTTATAGTCATGACTACAGCAGTAGTTAACTCTGGTGCTTTAGTGGTAGTAGTACTTATACTAACTGTTGAACTTAACGTCGTTGTTTCGACGCTCCAACTTTTATTCATTACTAAATCTATTCTATTAAAAACAGTGCTCAACTTTGTTGTTAATTCTGTAGTAGTAGTTGTAGGCGTAGTGGTAGGAGTTTGGGTTGTGGCAGGAGCTTTAGTTGGTAATGAAGAAACGTAATCTTCTGATATGATGCATGTTAGTTTTATTGAACTGCCAGCTTTATAAAATCTATCTTTCACCTCATGAGACTGATCATTGTTAATAGTCAATACAGGAGCTGAAACAATTTATTATCATGAATATAATATACTTAAAGATTTGTATAGGGTATAATAAAAAAGGCTATAATTCTACAAAACCCAACGAAAGCATTCATGAAACTCAACTTTCCCCAAGGAAGAACGTAGATCGGTAACAAAAAATCCTTCGTATAAAGCGCGCTGTTATGGGAAAAGCTTTTTTGGATCCTGGATATTAAATCAAATATTCTGAGTCGTATAATAAAAGATTTACAGAGTAGATAAAGAAACGGATGTGTTTTTTGGCTCTTTGCCTACCATGCACCCGGTATGAAAATGGATCAATTTACAAATTCTTAAATTAGAAGCCAACGTAAAAGTAATTCATTTTGTTGAAAATCCGTCTCATGAATATCCACCATTTTTTTTTTTTTATTTTTCTTTAGATAGTAAAATATTTTTTTGTTTCATAACTTTTTGTGTTCAATAAAGCTTAAAAAGAAAATTAAAATCTCTGAAGTCATTAAATAATTAAGATTTCAGTAAGCATATGATAGATATCGGTTAAACCCTGTAAGTAAAACGCACAAAATTCTCATCATAAAAATATATTGAACGCGTGCTAGTGTCCTCAGAGAGCTTTAGATTTATCTGATACGCGATGTGGGGATGCGAAAAAATAAAATATAACATTACTACCTACGCTTCAAGATTATAAACGATAGCAATCCTTTGTTCGTTGTAATGTAAAAGCTTTTTGGATAACGAATGAATGTTGTGCAAAGTAATTGTTAATGGCCTATAATATTTCAAGACGTTATTATTAGTCGTAGCATTTTCATATATTATCATTTACATTAAGTTAAAGAAAAAAACAAAATCGGCTTTTTTTTTTCGAGAAAAATTATTTCAAGAACAAAGGCTTCAATAGTAATTTATTTATAAAAAAAATCGCAATTTATAATTGCCATTGCAAAAAACAGTCATATCAGAAATAAATAAACTAAATTACGAGTAAATCCCTAATTTTTGGTTTATTATGTTATAAATTAATATAAACTTGAATATATCATGATAAGATAACCATAAACGTCATGATAGACTTTAAGCTTTTAGTTTATGATATTAGCTATTAACATATATGGTATGCAGAATTAAATAAGTGCATAATGATTTCGCAATCAATATTATGTAAAGCAACTTCTGACTATTTTAGAATACTTACGTAATACAGTTAAATTAACAAATATTGTCCTGGGAGGGTGGGTTGCTATTTGGCACATATAGTTCCCGGCATCTGAATGCTTTACAGGATTCATGCTGAGTCTCCAGTTATTAGGATACTGGAACTTGACAGCTATCCGACTATCGCCTGTGTACGGCGATGGGCCAACTGTCAATAGTTGTGCAGAATCTGTTGAATTCCGCATCCAAGTCACCTGTGCGCAAATGGTCCACGTTAGTTCTGGTAATATTTTATTTTGTTGTCAGAATTTGTATTGAAGAAAAATTGAGATATGCAATGTATATTAACTATAACATATTATTTGATAACTGAAATTATTATTTTATTGTCAATATTAATTTCATTGTCTATATGTAATATTGCGCAAACGTAATAATGAATGTAAACGTTAAAAAAGAAATTGAAATCTTATTGTAACAGACAGAGTAAATCGAATTGAATTTATTTAGCAACAATATAATATTTTTTAACTATATATTAGTATTAGTTACGTCTAAAATAATCAGTAGAATAAATAAAAACATGACTAACTTACTGTTTTGTCTTTTAGCATAACAACTCTACAATTCAGCAATGCTTCAGAGCCGACATGAGCTGTTACTTGCGAATACTTCTCGTCTTCAAAATATGGCCCCCAATGATGTTCATGATGGTGATCATGATAATTTTGGTAAGGTACATAATGCCGAGTTTCTTCTACCTTTCCTATGGTATAAGAGGAAAAATCCATATCAGTAAGTAAATGTAATTGTCATTAAAATAAAATATAGTAATCAAAGATGCATGATATAATAAATTATGTATTAAGAAAGAAAAAAAAAAAACACATTTATAGGAAATATTTTAACAATTGTTTGTAACGATTGATTGGTTTGTTGTATATGCTAATATAAGTTATCAATTTCTGCCTACCTTCTATAATGTCATAGTTTCATAAATTATCCTTAATACCTCTTTGTATAAATATACGAAAGTAAACTGTTATTTTATTTTATAACATTGAAATTAGATCAAGCATCTTTCCGTTGCGCCATTTTTAGCTCAAGGAGTTCATCGTAAAGAGTCATTACAGAATATAACGGTATAATGCTCTTTTGCCTTTACATAATAATATTATTATGAAATTTGAAAATATGAAAGATAAAGAAAATATACGACTCACATACGATGTTATCGTTTGTAAAATGTATGTTTTCTTTGTCTTTTCATTGTGTGTGCACTCTCACAGTCTTATTCATAAAAATTCTTATCGTAGGTTTAAAGAGCTCTTTAGCGAAAATGTCAAATAATTCTATTGAACATATATGTAATAGAGTGTTATTCATAACTGTTCAATAACTAAAAGAGCTCACAACTCAATAACAAACATGTCGAGTTGTACGAGTATACTCGTATATCATAGACGGCCAGCTGTAGTCAGCTGTCAAAAGTATTATTATTATTATATATTCTTTATTGCTAAAATATACAGTCAAAAGTTAATTGTTAGCAGAGGCGAACTTATCTCTAAAAGATTTCTTCCAGATTTTGATAAAAAAAAATCTTGACAAATATTGTTATTTTTTATATTAATAATTATAAAAATATAATAATAGCTATTTTAATTAAAAACGAATCTTTATATACATTAAAATATTATGCACATGGATGAGATTAAACAAATACAGTATTGATTTAACACGTCATTGGAATGGGTGTGCATATCATATTATAATAATGTTATTCATAACTAACCACAGGTTTTAACTGATTAATTTTTTAGACCATAGAAAATAAATATATTGCATTTATAAGCATAATACTTTTCTTTATTAAACCCATTTTGGGGTTAAAATATCTCTATAGTAGTCATTAGGCCATTTTGACTTTATAGGACCGCTTGATATTTTCACCTTATTGGTTTGTTATACTATATTCATGAATAAATTTTTTTTAATATTACAGATTTATGATATGGGTTATAATGCATTTACAGATAATTTATAACGAACATTGTTATTGAATAATTATAGCATAGTTATTGTGTATATTAATACATATTTTTTTATAAACACTTTATTTTTTTGTTATAGAGAACTTATAATGGCACGATAATTTTTATGAATAAGACAGCCAAATTTTAATTAACCATGTATTTATGTAGAAATTCATAATATATAAGTTTTCTGTATGTTATATGACAACTCATGATGTTTTGAAAGCACAGAAAATAATGTTCCCATATTCCAGTTTCTTATCTTTTTAGTGCCTTTTTACGACATCAGCGGAATAAGGTGGCCAATTCGAAGACGAAGAGCATACTAACCTGAAGGGATATTTAGATATATCTGTTTATTAAGATACCTCCCATGTATTTGTTTGTTTCAAGAAATTGCATTACACACAGTATAATAAGATTACAACCCCATAGTATTACCGTCAATGTAACCAACAAGTCTCGGTTTTTAAAATAATTATTCAAAAGTAATTCTCCGTTATGAGAATAGTTAACTGTTATCAGTTTCAAGTTAATGAATAAATTATTTTATTGCTGTGTGTATTCTGAAATTATGACGGGTATTAATAAAATTGTCTTGTACGTAGTTTAAAAAACTTTTTAATGGCTCTGAAATTTGTCTGTGCTATTACCATAAGACTGTTATTTCTTAATTTGAAATGAATAATGTATTATGTCTTATTATTCAAATGATACGTACGAATAGACCCGCAAATTTAATCATGAATTTTAATTTTGCAGAAGAATAATGTGTCAGAACAAAGGATTTAAATTGTCCATAGATTGTTTTAAATTGGCTATTTTAAATATAAATACATTATATCTATTATTATATTAAAATAGTAATTCAATGGAAAAAATAGTGGTGACACTTCGGGGTTTTTTTAACTTTGAACTCGATAGGTAACTCCTAAGATAATACGGGAGTAAAAACCCGTGTAAATGCTTATAATGTATAAATTCACTGCAATTATTATTCAATAATCACCCATCTTGTCAAAATAGATGACCACTACGATAAATTAGGTATATAGTATTTCGATACAAGTTAGCTACATAATTCGTATCGTAATAAAACCAATACGTTATATTAAAACGTAAATAACAGGTCAGTGAGCACCGCTCCACTTACGTACTAACGTGAAACCACACTTTCTTGAAGATCAATACTATAAAGATTTATGGGTCGACCTTATGTGCACCTATTTCATTGAAAAGACGAGCCTTTTTGTAAGATATGCCGGAATACACTTCCATGAAATATAATCCTGTCTTTCAAAGGCGTTGTGACTTTTTTCGAAAAGAAGTAGTTTTTTTTTAAATATATGAATTTTAATACGAATAACCGTCGTTCCTTTAAAACAAAAAGTGTAAGTAAATGAATAGAGTCAATCGTATTTAGGTGTATCTATTATATATAAATAAAAAATGATTGCTGAACGTATGTAAGTACATAACATACATCAGAACAGCTTCATCTATGTGACTAAGTCTGTTTTGTTGTGTTTGTAATTATAAATACAGGGTAGAAAGAAGAGATTTGTCATCTCTTGGCGCCTTAAAGACTACATCAATCGTCATAAATTTTGGCATAAAAGTAGTATTAAGAACGGGGAAGAATATACTATTAAGTGACTTTTATTCTGGTCAATAAATATCTCTCCGAAGATAAGTGTACAACGAGAGGGGCCTAGAAACTCTTGGCATAAAGGCTACTATCGTCTTATGAGTTAGTAATAGTGCCTCTATTATGTAGAAAAAGTAGTAGGCACAGCTAGTAGTTCATAATTTTTTATATAAATATAATGTAAATTATATATTATCTTTTTAATTTTAATTTTTGCATTAAAAAGCTATCGCCTTTTTTCCTTGTTCACCTACTCAAAGGTTGTCTGGAAAAGATTGCTATGCGATAAGACCGCCTTTTGTACTTTATTAGTGATTACCACGTAAAAAATAATACAAAAATATATTTGTATTATTTTTTATGTGGTAAAAAAGAATAAATAAATATATACAATATTTTAAGGAAAATATTAAGATTCTATTATGTAAATTTCAATATCTTATTGGAATATTTGATACTATAAATTATAATCATTATACCTACCTTGTAACAAATTGTCGTTACGGTCCGTCGCTCCCTCTCTTTTGATGTTCTCCCGTAATTGCTTGCTAATGTTTCTAAATATCTCCCTGGATAGTGCCAGGCTATCCTTCTCATCGCTTCGACGTCTCCTGGCGACATTCGCTCTGTAATCTTCTGGGAATCGCAGTGGTTCTGTACAGAAATAAAAAAAAAGAAAATATAACCACGACTACTCGGATAATCCTTAAAAGGTAATTAGAGAAATTTGTCTATTTGCAGTAAATGTAGAATTTGACATCTCGTCGAGAATATTAGAATGCGTTGTAGCAATCAATGCTCTTCTTGAATTTAGCTCACTTATTAAGTGTTAGGTATTTTAGGAATTATATTAATTTTGGGCTAAAAGTACTCTATGTGTTAATTTAGGTCTTGGGCTGTATGCGAACGAATTTTAAATCAAATTTGTTTTAATGTTTAGATATGATTAACGACGAAAAAGAAAATTATTAATATTTATTAATTTAAATATAAAATAAAAGTTTGTGAAATACATAGTATTAATTTGTTACTAATAGTTACTTATGTAAGTAACATTCTAATAATCTCCATTTATATTATCTACCATTTCAATAAAAAATTGACTATATAAAGATAAGTGTAATTTAAAGACGAAAAATTTACATGTGACTAGGTACCGTACCCTAAGGTACGGTATGGTAATCCTGGTTTTTTTTATGCATCTTGTAATGGCAAAAGCGCTGTCAGCTCATTGTTGTTGCCGTCATTTTTAAACATGTACAGCAACATGGTCATCATTGAAAACTCATATATCATAATATCTATAGCATCACTCAAGCGTTCCCATTCCACCATCATCTTACCCACCCTTCGAATCGAAGCACAGCTGCTTAGCGGCGTTCGTTATAAAAATGGTAAAACACGCAAATAAAATCAGCGTATTTCGTCTACCAAGATATTTTTAGTTTCTCGTATAAGTGAGCCTGAAAAATGACGGAAACCGTCGCCGTCTGTCAAGGCTGATCCCGAAACGCGATGTGAATTATAATGCTTTTATTCTTATAAAACCGCTTTAACATTATTGTATATGTGTAATAGAAGTTTCTTATTATCACATAGATTTTCTAATAATAAAAATATAGTAGAGAGTATATCAGTTAATTACATTTAGAGGAAATGTAATTAACTGAATAAATAAGCATCCATTTAAACATTGAGCAAAATATTACACAACGCCGTTTAGTTATGCATTAAGTAGAAATTGCACTATATTTACTAAATATATATTATATTCTCGTTATACTAGATATAGGTTAGTCTCTTTTAAATTCCGAGGAAATGCTTAGATCATAATTAAAGATTAAAGATTGTCCACAAATCAAAAACTGATTTCAATTTCAATTGTGACAAAAAACCAGTTATTTTGATAAAATTTCTATAGAACTAATCTGTAAGTATATCTTTGCAGATAAAAAGAATTTTCCAAATATATATATATACATATGTATAAATACGTACCTATGGTGTAGAGGTTTCATATAGTACATATATATACATACTATGTTAAACCTCTACACCACCAAGATCGTCGTAAATGCATAAGTTAGTTACCTTATCCAAATATTTCCGCACTTAGCCACAGAATATCTAATAGTACGCTTTAGTCTCATGATTGGGCTATTGTGTTTGAGAATATAAATACATAATAGATATCTACTATCTACTTAAAATAAGAAAATATTTTAATGTATTTAAAATGAATTTAATCGTAATTTTATCAGCATTTTTGTCTCGAATTTATTAAATGAATAATAATTGCAAATTGAATAAATAACCCTTAATTACTTTTTCAAGTTGTTTTGCTATTTTAAAAATATTATAAATATAATATAAATATTATTATCAAAATATAATATAACAAAGGAATACCTATATAAATAACAAAATAAATAAGCAGCTTAATTATATATCGTAGTGACAATGATGATGATGATATCAGCTGTTATTGTTCACTGCTGAACATAAGCCTCCTCCTATTGAGGGATTTTACCAGCAAGTATCACGCTTAGCAGGTAGGTTAGTAACCGTAGTTAGACTTTGGTGATGTTTTAAGAGGGACGCTGCTGCCAAGCCCTCAGATGTAACAATAATTATTCATAATGCAAATTTTAAATTATAATTTATATCCCAGAAATGATAGGACATGTTTGGCATATTTAATATGCTGCTTAAAAACAATTTTGTATTCATGATCAAATAAATGAATTGATTTGTAAAGATGAACAGATGAACGGATTTGAATGAAATTTATTACATAAATGGACCGTTGAATAAGTGTTGCCTAAATTAATACGTATATTTTTATCAAAATTTTTATATTTATAGTTAGTAGACAAATAAGCAGCGATTGTAAGTAATATATTTTTAACGAAGTGTTGTAATTACAAAGTAATTAAGTTAATGATTACAAATACAAAATTGAATATAATTTCAGTAGGTATCAATAAACTCCGTAACCGATAGGTATCCGAATTGGAATGATATTCGGAAATTAAGTATGACGGAATTTCATTACCAGTGGGAAATAAGAAATTTTAATATTCAAATGGCGACCTTAAGATTCATTTCTAAAATTTCACTTTCATATTTTTTAAATTACGTTATCATGCATTCAAATGGAATTATTTAATTATAATAATAGTACGTAGTGACAGCGGTTTAGTTTTAGTTATTTCTTAGTACACCCAAATTTAAAAATCTTAAATTGAATCTATTATACAAAGTAAGAACTATGTTAAGGTTTTTTTAAATGATCTATTTGTGGCGATACTTATTTAGTGGATTTGAGTTTGAGTTAGGATATACCTAACTTAAAACATAAGATACTGCAATACAGCATACGATACTACACTCTCGCAAACTGAGGGCAATAGCTAGTTTTATGTAAAAACTTATTCTATTCTTATTTATTTCTTTGTAGTATAGTTGAAAACACGATTGAGCATGGACAGATAAGAGGTATGGTTTATCCTGTTAGAAAGCCAAAGTACATACATACATTAATTTTATGTTTTTAAATATGAACTGGTGATATACCCAACTTTGGTGTACGAATGTAAATTAATGCGAATAACGATCAAAAAGCTAAAGTCACCCGACACTATCGATGATATATCGGACGTTAGTTTGTAGAAGATTGAAATGGCTCTCAAACAGCTTAAAAATGGCAAGGTACCGGAGGAGGACAAAATTACAGCAGATCTTCTAAGAGAAGGTGGAAAACCGGTACTTGTAGTTCTTCAGAAGCTATTTAATTTCGTCATTCATAACGGTGTTATACCCGAGGCGTGGACCATAAGCGCGGTAGTCCTGTTCTTCAAGAAAGATGAGAATATCCTATTGAAGAACTATAGACGGATATCCCTTCTGAATCGCGTCTACGTACTGTTTTCGAGAGTCCTGACCAATCGTCTTACACACAACTCGACAACTTCCATTTTATAAGGTTAGTTTTATATATACGAGTATTTTATTATATTTAAAAAAATTGTAATTACACGATATATGTACATAGAACATATTTAAAAAAATGTGAGAGATATTAATATAAGTACTAGAAACTAAAGCAATGATTTTTAGAATATTTGTCTGTCCATATGTTTGTTCTGGCTTCAAACAAAAACTCCTTAATTAAACTGGACGCAATTTCTATATTTGTATTTCTGAAGTTTTAATTTAAAAACTGGTTGGTATACATTTTATCTTAATACGCCATATAGAAGTGATCTTTTTTTCGTTGTTTTTATAGAATTTTAACTAGATCATATCTGTACATAGGAGATATCAAAAATTATAATAATATGAAGGGTCTTAATAAAAGCAATAGAAGCAATATGTTTAGAATTTTCATTATCTGTTTCTTTGCTTGTATATTTTATCATTACATTTCGTATCTAAAAACTACTGCACCAAATTGGTTAAGGTTTTCACAGTCGCTTGCCTAAAGATTTCATTTATAATTTGGTACTACATATTTTACTTCAATGTGACTACTTATTATCGCAAGATATTTCCACAGAAAACATATAATAAATAATTAATTTGTCGATGGGATTGATTTTCCTTTTCCTTTCTCTTTTTTCATTACTTATTCCTCTTTCTCACTCTATTCTTTTTTCTTTTTCAAGTTTTTTTTACATACTCAAATTACAAAGAATGTTAAAATGTAGTAGTATTCAATACGTAATACTATTCTACGTAATAGTAGTCATAAAGAAATTTTAATTATTCGGGCAGTATTTGCTGTTAAAAGTGAGTATTATAGATATGAAGTAAATTAAATAAAATATATTTTATGTATATAAAGATAAAATATACAGTTACATACTTCCAAAACTCACACGTACAAAGTCGCTATAAGCTGGTATATTTATTTTAATTATAAATATATAATCAGAAACGTTATAGATTTTTCATTTCGGAAAACTCAGTAATAATTTCAGATAGAATTTCGTGTACATGTTTCGAGTGCCAAGTTTTATCAGGCGTTATGAAATGGCTTATATGAATCGTAATTCATTTGATCGGAAAACGGAAAACGTCTACCACAATAATTTACAGACATTTTCCATTTTAAACATTAAAGAAAAAAATACTGAAATGCAGAGCTAGTGAGGTAAATTCTCACTAATATTATAAAATATGAAATTAGTTCATTTCTTTTACATATTAGAGTTATAATGGCGCAACTGTTCGTCATGACAGTTGGCATTTACATACTATGGGATGAAGAACTTATGATATATAGGATATAAAATCCTGTATATCAACATAACCTCAATCCAGAGCATGAAGTCGTAGGTAACAGCTAGTGCTTAAAATATAGGTACTTAAAAGCATAAAATTATTACATAACCCTGACTCTGTTTACCTAAAAAAACAGCTTAAAAATTTTAACAAAAAATGTTTACTACCTGTAACACGTAACTGGTAATACGTTACCAGATTGGTTTGTTACCCAGTTTGTCCTACCTGTCTGTCTGACTTACTATATTGAACCGTAACTAATTTTTATTATCTAGTTATTAGTTATTTATTGCCAAATATGAAATAAAATATTATATATTTAGGAAGACTGAGCGTGCGAGTCTTCGCCTGTTTATTTTTTTTTCCTAGTTTGACGAACATAATTTAACTCTCCTTTATCGATAGCAATCTATTTTGTAACACTGACAATGCCTATAAGAAACTATATTTACTCAAACTTTTCCAGAAAAACTAACAATATGTCAGAACTAGTAAGAAACTCAATCAAGAGAAATAAAGAGCGAAGGCACCCAAGCATCCAAGTTTTATTTGGTTGAATAGCCGTAGGTATGTAACATTAAGGATTTTCTTATTAACTCTCTCAGTTCCGAAAGTAAAACGAACATATTATAAGCGTAATAGGGAGGTTTTCTAAAGCAAATACGAGTACATTAACATCCTTTGTATTAACCCACTACTGGGATAAGAGAGACAATAAGAGAATTTAATAAAAAAAATAATAAGAAAACTAAAGTTATTTAGTAGATATTCTTTTCTTTTTCATTTCCTACTTTATTCCTTGTTTGAAAATCTATATATGTATCCCTAAATGTCGAGATGTTTTGATTTGTATTTTTATAAAACTAAGATCGTTATATTTATCATTTAATTTTTCTCTTTCTATTTTTTATCTTTTTTTTTTTTGTAAATTATTAATTATAGAAAGTTTTGTTTCAGTATCATTCTATAATTAATATTTTACACACAATAATTAATTAAATGTTCTTTATTTATCATCATGAACATGACAACCAATAAAGCATTTCTATGTAAGACGTACATACACTTATTGATTTAAACTACTTGTTAAGATACATTTCAAAGGGTTGCATTAGAGGTACTGTCTTAATTACAGGCTGTCACAACAAGAATATGGTAGTATGTAACTACTGGAAAAGTAGAGATCTAATAACAAACGCAAGTAATAACGGTAAATTAGAGAATTCAAGAAGTATAATTATATACTCATAAACAACAAATATTACAAAATTTTGCTGTTTATGTAATCGTATTGTTAATAAATTAATAACATGTGGACAAATTTGCAAGATATAGCTAGTATATTAATAATTTGCAATTTTTAACGTATTAATGAATACAATTTGATTTATAAGAAATATATTAGTCAAGAAATTATCAGCATCTACTAATTAATAAATATTGGTTTATTTACGGCATTTACATCACCTGAGATTAAATTTTATAATTTTAATAATTCTGAATTGACACCAAAATTCTTAGTAATAAATGAGAATCGGTCGTTTATACTAATATTGTAAAAAAGTAAGATTTAATTCTTTGTTTGTAATGACTCGAAAATTACTCAATCAACTTTAAAAGCACTAAAGCTACATTATTAGCAAGTAATATAGGCTATTATATATTTTTGAAAATTCTATCTACCCGTGTAAAGCCGGACCAGATATCTAGTTGTAAATCAAAAGGGAATTTATTAATAATTAATAAATTATTTTTTATTGTTCACAACACAAAAAAAAATAAAAAAATAGGCGGGCTTAGTACATATATAACATTCTCTCTCAGTAAACTATGTTTTTTTTTATTGTCAGGGAAGCAAACGATCCACGTGATGGAAAGCAGCTAATGTAAGCAGCCTATGTAATGTACACCTGCAACACGAGAGGAGTTGCATGTGTGTTGTTGGCCTTTTAAATATGTTTTCATTCCTTTTGTGTCTTCATTCCTTTATTTTTGTCGCCTTCTTTTGTCGTCGTCAGTCCGTCTTTTGTTGGTCGAATGTTTTAATAAACAGCTGATGAGAAAACTAGTCAAAGAGACCGCAAAAGATAGTTTCGAACATGACCTTTGCGACTGTTATAAGTAGGTATTTTTATAAGTAAGAATGAAGTTATTTCTATAAAAACCTACAAATAATATATAGTTGCCTACATTAGTGGTCATTGTTTGACTTATGTCAAGTTTCCAGCAACAAAATTTAACAAAAATCTAATCACAATCTATTGGGGGGAAAGGGATTGTTAGTAACGGAGACTGAGAATCCCATTGCTAGCAATATACCCAACCAGGTCGACCTCCTCGCGGTTCTCCCTGGAAACTATCATGGTTAATTTCTGATAAATTCATCATGATGGGCTAACTGGCCTATTTTCATTCTCATCTATCACCCTTCACTGGTGCTCCGCCAGCGTATCCCGTTAGCGCAGGCGGGGTTACCATACCATTTTCACCCATCAAAAAAAAAACACAATCTATTTCGGACCATCAGTTAATTACTACTATTATTAGACTATGGAGGCGTAGCCTTTATAGCGATTGACCATTTCTATTTTGATTTTGTTAGGTTTGCTAGCTATAAATTTGTCTTTAAATTAGATTCCTATTTCATGCATAAAACATCATTTAAGATTAGTAATAAAATATCGTATCATTTACTTGATTGATATAAATAAATAAACTCAAAACCTGTGGTATCCATAATGAGAGCAATTTTGTCGGTACCTATTTATATTAAGAAATAAATAACGTCCATTTGTTTTTGTAATTTGGAAGGAATTTAGAATTACAGAACTGTTTCTAAAAAATCTTTCAAGGCAGAGCAATACAATATAGTTATGTAAAATGAAATGAGCTATCAACTTGTGTGATGTGACAAACTTTATAAACCAACCTTAAAATATAAAATACTAAAAAAAAAATTAATATTTACACATTGATTTTTCTGGCTTCAATCTAAATAATTTGACGATCCATGTGGAATAATAATTTAATATTTAGATATAATAATAGATATGCAATTACATTATGATTTAATTGCTTATCTACTTAGTTAATCATAGATTCGTGAAACTGACATGACAGCTTGTCAACATAAATCAACAGCGAAATATTATGCATTAACGTGACAACATTTATAATTTAAATTAATTACAGTTTAGTGTTCAGTGAGATGGGAAATAGAATATTTGACAGATAAGTAGATCGTTAATAAAATACATGTTCATACCACATTTGAATATCTTAAAACGAGATTAAAATTGGCAAAAAAGCGTTAACTACAGAACATGTGGTTGTCTTATAAATGGTTTTGTGTCACTTAAGTTCAAAGACTTCCTGAGCAACGAGTTCCATCTAATGGTGTATATATTACATTTGCATGTACGAGGTAGTCCTTGAATAATATTTCTTCCTCGTCAGTTCTTTAAGTTATAGGTCGATCTATTGGCATATTTGCTAGTTTATTTTTCAAATTATATCGGTCATTGGAACTTTTGCAGATATCACCATTTAAACGCTATTACGTAGCGAACCAAATTCCGGGTAAAGTAGTGTCTATAGCTCATTTAACTACTTGTGGTTTCTGCTTTCGAATAGTAGTGTAAATTACAACATGAAAGTTGTTAAAAATATTTTATTATTTGCTCCTTAATACCAGTTCAATTATTGAATTTAACTTTATCTTAATTTACGCGGATAAAATTACATTATACAGCTACGTATATCTATAAATTATACTTATATATTATTGCAATATACAGCAAACATAGAATTCCAAAGGACCGATTCAACCAGATCTCTCGCTTCTTCCATATTCATTAGTCTATTCGTACAAGATATTTCTTATTTGGCCCTTTTTTAGTTTGTTACCTATTTTGTGGATGTATATCCGTTTAGGGCTTTCCCTATAGAACATTTTCCTTCATTCGCATTCGATATATATAATAACACATTACAAACAACCAGCGAAATATTCCCGTTTTAATTTTTTACACTACCATTTTATATTTATATGCTTCTTTATTCACACTATTTTTATGACCTTTTTAATATTAAATTATTATTTCTCAGAATTCACGTCTCTAAGAAATTGATATTTCTCTAATGCTTCTTCTGCAATACTAAAGATACTTTCAAATGTTGAAAATGGAATTCAAAATTCCGTTTCATTTTTATTAAATAGTGAACACAATCTATATAATTACCAGATGCAGTATGTAGGCAGCATAATGCTAGACAGACGAAGTAGAGGCTGTCCCACTGCATATTAGAGAGCACATCACAGGTGCCGACGCATCACGCTCGCCCCTCACCTGGTGATAAAGAATTCATCATATTATTAACTCACTTTAACTTACGTGTTAACTACGCCATAATTCAAATGCCAAATAATGTATTTTGTTACAGAGAAAACTGTCTTTTATATCTTTATTTATAGCGACAAAAATAAAGAAAAACATTATTTGCTTAATATTCTGGGAAGGTATGGATGAAATTTTATCCTGTCCGATTTTTTTATTTCAGTCATATTTCAATGTATAATTATTGATACACAATGAAAATACTTATTGCAATACTAGCTGTATCCTGTATTTTTGCACGAATTATAATATTTTAGTTATTAATCAAGAATATATAATGTTTATAAAATTTAATTTAAATTCTTTTAATCAAATTGTGATGCTCTTATGAACCAAGTCATCGAATGCTAATTTTCTCTATTCTTAAAGATGTTAATTGCATCTACTTTCATAATGCATGCCATGCATACACACCAATATCTGATATCTTTGAAGTCAGAACTTTAAAAACCAGCATAACTCAGATAAATTATGTATTATTTACAGTAGAAACCTCACAGTCTATCTGAAAAAAGAGCTATCTATCCGGATATTCCGGATATTCTACTCAGTTAGACCGAGTTTTGTACTGCGGGATAGATTATAAAATAATATAACAATTATTGTAATATCGATACTATTTAATTTTTGACACTTAATATTTAAATTTATTTTTTACTTGAACGTCACAAAACAATATCAGTAATCAGGCCTTATTAAGTTTCAAAAATAAGTAAAAATATCGATACAATTTTGCATATCGTATCTTAATCCGAACTTGTCTCACCTCACTATCCATTGAAGATGGTTTCCATCTAAATATAATACATATTTTAAGCAGAAGTAATTGGTTTGTACGTGTTTGAATAAGACATGCTTTCCGGAAAATTGAAGTTTCGACCCTGTGGTTTAATAGTTTCGAATGCCCTCTATAATTAACCTACGCAATTTTCAGTTTGTACGCCTACGGACCGCAATGGCAGAGGGAAAATTAATTACGCACTTGATTTCATTAAAGTGAAACCAACAAAAGTTTATATATTATGACACTAGTAATATTCTATGGCTTTGATTGTATTAATGACTATATAAAGTGCCCTATGTATCTATTTAGGATATAGTTTTATTGTGTACTAAATTTAAATCTATTTAATTGTGTAAGCGTTATTCATAAAAGTATTCTTTCGATGACGTATAGACTGATAATGAAATGAAACGAAATGTAATTTATTTGCCAGAAACATTGTAGATAAGATATTGTATTTGTCAAATTTACAAGATGCCCATGTTACAGGTCTGTAAAGTATACTGAAAATAATATTATTCGATTATATAAAAAACTATATTTATGTATTTTTCTCAAGATGTTGTTACAAAATGAAAGTCTAGTTGTCATGATTAGAGTAATGATGATCTAAACAAGTAGTGTCATTATCATAGTTTGTAGTTCAATCTAACATTATTATGTTAGATTGAACTACAAATAAAACGTGCTGGAACAAAATATTCTTTCATTGATCAAGGTATAATATTATTATATTGATTCTCAGTTCAGTTATTTTTTGTGTGTTATCACATAACCCCATCAGTTGTAAACCGATTTGGATTTTTTTTTTATCTTAAAGAATATACTTATAGATTAGCTCTATAGAAATTTTATAAAAATAGTTTACAATTTTTAAATCAAAATAATTAGTTTTCTCATAATTGAAGTAGTTTTTTTGTGGGACACAATTTTTAATAATTCATTTTTATGAATCATACTTATTAATTTTAAAGTTCATCATATAATGAACGTCAAAATGTACTTATAAAAATACATTATAGCAGTATGAAGAATAATAGGCGGTAGTGATGTTGGTACTAAGCGTAGCTAATACTAAAGTTAGGTAATAGGATTTATAGAAGACAACGTACCAAATAAACTAAAATACAATATAATATTATTCATTAATGAAGACTATAGCTACTCATTGACCTAAAATTGTTTTATATAACGAGTAAATCTTTATATAAGGGTAAGATAAAATATAAAAGCTTCACGGTCGCATTGTTCAAACAAAAACGTTTTTCATGCTTAAATTCGGTGTTTTAAGATAAGCTTCAATTTCTTTAATAAAAATGAATATTAATCTGCGATATGATTAAAATTGTGTCGGTATAACCAAACTGTTCATCTTACGAAGAAATTGTTTTTATTATGATTATACATTTAACTTAAAATTCTTTGAAATACAATCTCCGTCTTATCCGATTGTCTTTTTTCTTTATATTACATGAGGGGTAAACAAGCATACAGTTCATCTGAAGTTTAACGGTCACTGCAGTTTCTTAACATGTGCAGCATCTGATATGTTATGTACGCATTGATCTTAAATAAACTTTTATACGCTCCTTTGAAGAACCCTATAATATCAGAATAAGCGTTCGTGGGAGAACTCTCTGAACTCTCTGAAATTGCATGTGATTATTTAGATTCTAGCATGTGAGATGAATTCCCTGTCGAGGGTAGGCAGTGAGATAATAAAAGGTAGCTGTGGTATCTTTTTTTATATCTCTCTTATTTTTATCTTTTAAAATGTAAAATACATAGTGGAATATTAAACACAAAATTTAAAGGAGTGGTCAAAGTATCTTTATAGCCCATTATCTTCAGGAATAGCAACTTACGAAAGATACCATGAGCATGTACTAGTACCAACTATATTTTGTGATGTTCATGAATTTTTTTTTCTGCCGAGGTTTCTCCTATAGATTTTAGTTTGAGATTCTTCAAAAAGATAAGGTAAGGTTTTTGAAGTTCGGTAAAGAGCATTTTATATTTCTGGTATTGCAAGCGTCCATAGGAAATGGTAACCGTTTATGATCTGTATGCTTGATTGTCGCCATATCTACATTAAAAATATAGATTTTTGTATGGCAATAACGTTAATCAGTTCGAGTATGGCATGCTGCTAAAAAGATACAGGTAGAATTTGCCGTCATTATGTGTCGAATTACATTCAAAGGATTTTTCGGCATCAATTTGCTTTCTAATATCGAGTCAATGGAATGTCAAGCGATGATTACAGGAAGCCAGTTAGTATCATCTTGATCCTTGGAAATGTTTAAGAGCTCTTTTGTGGGATATACTTTTTGAGGGACTTAAGGAAAGCGAAGGAGGATTTCAATTCATTCGAATTATTTTTTTTGCGAATATATTTCGCGATTGTGATTTTAAATATTTAGTTATCTTTTCTTCTAGTAAAAAATGTTTTTGCTGTTGACGGTTTGCTCTCGTGTTGATCCTATTTTAATCTTGTGACGATTAAATGTGTCGTTTTTCTTTCTTGTATATTATCAATGTAATACGAGTCATCTTGTAATTCTTCAGTGTATTTTATTTACGACTGCAGTTTTTTTATACAAAACTTGTAAACTTGGAAGTCATGCAAAAATTTGTTTTAATATTCATGTAAATATTGTACGTTTATTTAACCGCTTAAAATACCAAAATGCTTCATGGTTTAGAAAATAGAAATAAGAAGAAATTGAAATAGAATATAAATACTTTTTTAATTATTTTTTATTTGTAAGTTTCCTCTTGTTGGAGCATTAAATTCATTCTCTTCCAGCCAGCTCTATTCCAGGTCATATCTTTGATCTCATTGTACGACATGATACGCAGTATTTCCTTTATCAGTCCCATGTAGTTATTTCTTAGTCTTCGTCTTCTTCCTCTGCTTTTTTTTTTAGTTTTCTTATTAAAATTTATGACTAAAATAACATATAGCCTAATACTATCTTTAAAAAGCTTATTTTAGCTTATTAGCTACAAAAAAGTATTTAAAACAAATGATAATATTTTTTTTTACTTTTCTGATAACGATTTCATTGTCTGTTATTTAGAGTTGAATGATTCTATATAACTTCACGTAACAGTGTGGATATTGTGTGAGTACTTTTTATGTTTACTTACTATTTGTTATAAAAAGAAACTATTTCTGAGAACAAATTAATTTGGAAAAGGCAAAGAATATAATTGTCTATCTTTGCCATTCGTATTATTTGAGTATTCAAAACATCGGAATGTAATTCCGGTACGCATTCTCTGTTCACTCAAAAGATTCCTCTACTTTGAAATAAAATATGCTTGGTATTTTGAGACTTACTAATGTAATTTGTCTCGTTCAAATGTTGAGTTCCACGAAATAGGATAAACTTTTCATACGGGTAGGAACTAATATTTCGACTGAAATAGCAACAAAAGTACCTATTCATACAAATAGTATATTTCTTCAAGGTTCAACTTAGAGTATTTTCAATACAGGGTCTATTTATATAATGATGGTGTAGTTTTGTGTTCGTCAGATGACGTATTTCTAAAGTAAGTTTTGATTTATATATTTTTATAGTGTTATATAAAGAAGCTTTTAGCAAAATAAATTGAATATACGAGTTACTTAATCTTCTGTCATCATCAACTTCATATCAACCGTTAACTATTCACTGCTGAACATAGGCCTCCCCTTCGGGAGGTTTAGCCAGTAGTTGTCATGCTTGGCAGGTGGATTGGCAACCGCAGTTCGACTTTATTGATGTTTTAAGAGGCGCTGCTGTTTCATCACTTGACCATTAAATTCCCGTAGTCGGCTCTTACGACACCTACGGGAATCTTTTAAAACAAAGAGCAATGTAGACGCAAAATTAATGCTGTCTTAACAGAGTTACATGTTGTATAAGTAAGAAAGATTTATGACACCACGGGTAAAATAAGATATTTTGTACTATCTGTGGAGCAATGTATGTCTAAAGACGACAGTTTCAACTTTCCGTCAAGTAGACAATTAGCTCGATGCTATTCCAAATTTTATAAAAAGGGTACAGTATGAGGATGGGACGGCTAATTCGATGATATCTATGACGCCTTGCGTTCATGCGTTCATGTCTGTAGAGGATGGTTGTCAGTTTCTATCAGATTTTTTATCTACTTA